GAGCCTTGAAGCCCATCACAGAGATGAGGCTACAGAGCCACGTACAATAGTTATTACTACGAAAATCTTTAGTAGAGTACTCTATAGACATATGCGATCAAGTTTCTCTATATATATTACTTATATAAGGTGGCGGTGCGGCCGCTACGTGTAGTGTGGGTTCGCACGGGCGGAGGAGGCGTCGCAGGCTTCGGGCGACTACGAGCACCTACAGCACGACGCGCAGGCTTTAGTTTAACTACAGAAGCTTTTAAGGTTGTAGATTTGCCTCTTTAGGACTGTTGTATACCTTTTGCAGAGTCGCGAGCCTGTTTAGCAGCGGCTCTAGCAGCCTTCCACGCGTCTATTACTTAGCGTTCCTCTGCCTTAACCTTTGCACGCTCTTCCTTCTCCCTCGCCCGCTTTTAACGCTTCTCTTCCTCAATCTTCTCCTTGTATAGCTTATTAGCAGCTGCTAACTCCTTCATCTCTGCCTTTCTTAGCTCTTCTTCCTCCTTCTCTTGCTCAGTAACTGCCATGCGGACGCGCGCCTCTTAAATAGCTCAAGGAGACCACACCATCGCTCCGCCGTGATACTCCTAGTGCTGTTGCAAGTCTAATTGCCTGCTAGGTTGCTTCTAACGCTTCTGTTTTAGGTATAGCTTCTGCCGCAAGCCTTCTAGTTCGTTGTAAAGGAGCTCTACCTGTGTCGATAGGTGGTGGATAGTTTGGCCAAGCTTTCGTGCACCTGCACTGCGAGGATCCTTCACCTCTGCATGCAGTGTAGTGCAAGCTCTAAGCCAATCCTGTGCAGAATAAGCCGTGGAACCAGAGGTAACTGAGCCCGAGTCAGTAGGTGTTGTGTGGCCAAATCTATCGAGTATAACGTTGGGTTTAACTGGGGCTATCCCTGTGGCAGTGAAGGCGTTTTGTATAAGCTCTTCCTCAAATGTGTGCACCTAGGCAGGCCAGAATAGGTGGAAGAAGTCACCTTTCGTTAATGGCGATAGGCCTTGAGACTTCTAGAGGTAGTCATCGAGCTCGGAGGCGTAGGCGGAGGAGAGTGGCTTGAAGCAGACTACGTCTAACGGCTGCAGCGTCTGTGTACTATAAGGTGGCAACACAGCGAGTATAATTCGATTTTGATCGCAGTAGTCAATGAAGTCCTGCGTTAGGTGACTCCTGTGGCCATCTACTATTAAAAGCCTGTAACTTCTGCGCGCCTTTAGCTTTGTATAGCAGTTAAATACCTATTTAAGCTAAGCCAATCTAATATTATTATTTGTCTAGCTAGTAGGCGAAGAAGCTACGTGAATTAGGTGTGTTCCTGCCTTAATATCGGCCACCCAATAGCTCTAGATTGTGGAGTTCTTTAACGCAAAAATGATGCCTAGGGGTAGAGCTGTACCATCCGCGCAGACTGCTGCCAATAGGCTCACCCACTCACGTGAGCTATCTTAACGAGCCTGTCTAACCTCCTTCTTCTTATATTGACGCCTACTGAAGATGCGCTTCGACCTTCCAAGTACCCTAATTGCGAAGCCCTTCTTATCCATATTGTACGTATTCTCTGGCTCAACGTCATACTCAGTGATCTTCTGCTGCAGTAGGTCAAAGTAAAGCTTATACTTATATCTAGACTCAGCGTTATGGCGATTAGAGTTTATACCCGTCGCCCAGTGGCAGGTGAGTCGGTCGCGGTGACGGTGCAGGAAGCGTGTAACCCAGCCATTAGAGCAAGGATCCTGGGCTACTTTAGACGCGAAATTTTGTACCATAGCTCTCGTAGGTGGCAAGTGACGCGCTGACAGTGTTTCTATATACTGCACAAGGTCTGCTTCTTATTGTGGGGTGAGCTTTCGTTGGTTTGGGTCAGCGACGCCCTAAGGGACCTGCACACCGCGGTGCGCGCGGGACAACGTTGTGCGCGAAACACCGTGTTTTTGAGCAATATTTGTATAGACAAGTTTATCGCCTAGGTCTAAATTACGAATCTCTGTAAGCGCATCTTGCAGGCCTAGCATAGTTGTTGAGTTGTTACGCGTTGAAATACTGTGTAGATGTTGCGTGCCGGGCGTTCAGTGACTCCGGGCGTTGGGTGCACGGACACTGTAGCTGGGTTACCGACTTCCTGCACCGTAACCAAGACCACCTCATCTCTCAATGGGCCACCGCCATGGACTCCGATCACCACAAGGCCGATAGCTGGGGAAAGTACAAGCAGTACTTTGACCTTATGCACCGCAAGATGACGCAATACTCTATCGTTGCAGATAGGCTGGTAAATGGGTTGCCTCGAGTTTTTTTTCTTTTAGTAATTACTCGGCCGGCGTAAGTACGATTTATGTAATTAGTAGCTCATTTTGTAGAGCTTTTATAACTGATATTTTAACATTATATAAGTTTTATGTAATCTTAAATATTGTAAAAGTTATGAGGCAACCCATCCTTTGAGAGTTGGGTTGGGGTTGGGTCATGAATTTCGGCGCTCTTTTACCTCTAGCTTACGTAATAAAATAGCTAGAAGACAACTTTGTATGGCAGAATTGTAGAACTAAACTCTAGCTATTTGACGATTCAAAAATTCCCTAATTTAGACTAGTATTGGCCAAGATATTTGATAACCCACCTAAAACCTTCGAGGCAACCCATTTACCAGCCTAGTTGCAGAGAACACATACAATATGTATGAAAAAGGCTTCGCTATTGGGAAGATCTCTAAGTCAAAACGCATCTTCTCCAAGCCTCTATACAAGCAAAAGCACACTCGCCAAGCTACTCAAGATGGCAATCGTGAGTGGATTACACTCCTCTCATGCATCTGTGGCGATGGGAGCTGGCTGCCGCCAGATCTCATTTATGCAGCTGAGACTCAGAACATTCAATCAACCTGGGTGGATGATATGGACACGGTGGAGCACTCAGTATTCACTGCTGTTTCTCCTTCTGGCTGGTCGAACGATGACGCAGGGCTTGGCTGGCTTGAGCAGGTGTTCAATCGCTTCACTAAGAGGAAAGCAAAGAAGAAAGTACCGTGTACTAATAGTAGACGGCCATGGGAGTCACCTAACTAAGGCTTTCGTTTCCTTCTGCGATCGCAACAAGATACTGTTAGCTGTGTACCCGCCTCACAGTACCCATACGCTTTAGCCGCTGGACGTAGTTTGCTTCAAGCCTCTGGCTCAAAACTAAAGCGATGAGCTCACAGGTCACCTTCACAACAGCCAAGGCCTAGTCTCTATAAAGAAGGGCGACTTCTTCCGTCTATTCTGGGCTGCCTGGGTGAAGACCTTCACAGAAAAGCTCATACTCAGCGCCTTTAAAGCAACTGGGTTGAGCATGACCCCAACGTTATACTCAGCAAGTTTGCTCCTAAGGCAACTAAGCCTCCAGCAGTTGCTCCACCTCCTCTGCCATATGAGGGCCCCGATTGGCGACTTGCTGACAGGTGTCTGCAGCGTGCTGTCAAGAATAAGTATACAGAGGACTCAGTGCGGGTAAGGGATACCCCTCACCACCTCCACATCCAGAATCAGCTACTTACAATGGAAAACAAAGGCCTAGAGCAAGCTCTAAGACAGCAAAAGAATGGAAATAAGAAGAGTAGAGCTTTGCCAGTTATTCAGAGGCAGGACTGGGAGGCAGACACTCAGTGGTGGTCTCCTTCACGCGTGGATGAAGCCCAACGTCTATTAGATGAAGCAGATGAGGCAGAGAAGGCAGAGGAGATCAGAAAAGCTGACGTAGCTGAGCTTCGTGAATCTACTCGTAAGCTCAAGCAGAAGCTGGACGCTGAGAAGGCGGAGAAGCGGGAGAGAGAGAAGAAGGAGAGGGATGAAAGGAAGGCAGAAGAGCGCCGTCAGATTGACGCACGCAAGGCAGAGTGACAGCGTCTTAAAGAGGAGAGAGACCGCGAAAAAGCTCTACAATTGTCCCAAAAAAGCAAGCGAACAGCCTCACAAGCTGCAGCACCAAGAAAGAAGCAGAAACGTAGTACTGTAGGTGTGCAAAGTGGTGGTACAGCACATGAGGAGCCCCCAGCTCCTCCACCTAAACACAACACTCCCGGCCAGAAGATCACTCTTCCAGCAAGATATATATAGCAAATATTTGTCGCATAGGTCTATAGGGCACTCCACCATGATATCTAGTCGCCATAGCAATTGTGTGTGGCTCTACAGCTTCATTTTTGGGTAGCCTGTATGAAGCTTCTGATGCGAAAGCGCACTACGCGCACGGACACAGTATCGGGCTCTGTCGCACGGTTGGGTGCGGGTATCGTAGACAAAATAATTAGAAGAGAGTGTATGTTCTATTGATTGTTCTAGCATCATGGCTCAGCTTATATTCAGGCCCTCGCACGGCATGATTAGTAACAGAGTTTAGGTTCACGACTGCGCTTGGCCTGCGACAGGCTCATTCCCCAATTCGTGGTTAAATCTGCTCCAAAGAACACCTATAAATTTTCCAAGTAACCATCGTTCGCGAACACAAACCCACTTAACAAAGTAGCCGCCAGAGTTGCTAACAATCAATCCAAACTGATGAGACTGACTGACTGACTGATTGCTTGGCAGTCAGTTCAGTGTCAGTTTGGAGCTCTCATCTTATCAGTCAGTTCAGTTTGGAACTCTTAAACTGACTGGATTGACTGATATCAGATTGATACATAGTGTTGCGGAGGCTGAGTTGCTTAACGCGCTGCAGTGCTTAAAGAGCTGGCGGCAATCAGGTCTTAAAACAACAGCAGGAAGGCATACAATAGCTAAGATCGCCGCAGTACAAGATCATCTTAGTAAATACGACTATCAACTATAGAAATTAGATAGCAATCAATCAGTCAGTGCAACACTAAGTTAGCGATCTTGGCAGTCAGTTCAGTTTCAGTTTGCGACTCCAAAAAGGTCTTGGCAGTCAATCAGGTCAGTTCACTACTCCCGGATTGACAGTTTGAGCCGCATAGATGAACTGACAACTGACTGATTGACTGATAGCAACTCTGGTAGCCGCTAGTGAAGCAGTTACCTATTTTCTACAAGACAACTCGCATTGACATCCTTCAAACTCGCGCACCCCGCCAACCCAACTGTGATCTCAAATTCGGCAAGCAGACTCTTTAACACGTGTCTCACGCCCTTCTCGCCTTGGTGGGCGAGACCCCAGAGAATCGGGCGGCCAAGCTGGACAAAATCTGCGCCCAGAGCAAGGGCTTTGAAGCTGATGATTTAGTCAGTGGTTCGTTGGATAATTTGAATTGGGAGAGGGAAGGAACTGGATAGGTTGGGTTGAAATGGACAAAATACCTACATATCGATGCCTGAACGGATCCCGCCATCAAAGCCAATCACCATCTTTCCCTTTACCGCGTCGACAATTGCGGGAAGCGCATCGAGCGAGGCGATGGCGCCATCGATTTGCCGGCCGCCATGCTACGGATTATCAGCTTTAGAAAACTTCAACAAAACCCTCTTTCATATATGACTCTCACACTTACATTACTAACAATCACGCCGTCAAGCCCCCACTCCAGCGCAGCTCTTGCATCCTCCGCACTCTGCACGCCCTTTAGCAGAATCGGCGCATCTCCCCACACGTCCCTCAGCTTCCACAAGTTCGACCACACGGGACTTACGCCCCTGGACGTGGTAATAGTATGATACAGCGCAGCCATTTGCTTCTGCTCCGCAGTCGCATTCGCAGCTAGGGGATCAAATCCTAGTTTCTGATGCGCAACCCCATCCTCCAAACCGATTTGCACGCCTATGCCGTTGATAAAGGGGAAGAATCCACGGTCGAGATCCCGCGTTCGCCAACCCAGATCCCATGTGTCGACCGTCACGACGAGGACCTCGTACCCGTTCTGTTTGGCGGAGAGGAGATACGAGCGTGTGAGGTCATCGTCAGATGGCCAGTATAATTGGTACCAACGGGGGTTTTCTGCGCCGTTGGAAGCGGCTACTGAAGCGAAGCCAGTGCTGCTTGCTGTGCTGAGAGTGTAGGGGAGTTGGAGCTCGCCGAAGACTTTGGATGTGGCGCGTTCGCCGGTGGGGTGGAAGAGGGTTTGAACTCCAACGGGGGCCATGACGATGGGGGCGGGGAGTGTGCGGTTGAAGAGAACGGTGCTGAGGTTGCGGGAGGGGAGAATATCCCTCATTATTCGAGGGAGGACACGCCACTAATGAGGTGGTTCGTTTAGTCTGCTTGGTCGGAGAGGGAGGACGTGTGGATGGTGACTTACGCGATCGAAAGCCTTCCTGTTCGCCGCAACGGTCGTCTCTAATCCCGCGCCACCATGCGCATAGTCGTATGCCGCGGGCGGTAGGAGTGACTTTGCGGATGCTTCGAGTCTGTCGTAGTTGGTTGAAGCAACAGGTGTCTGACCGTACAGTGTATAGTTGTAGTAGATTTCAGACGAGTACGATGAGTAATGTTCAGATCCAGGAGCGGGGTTGAGAACAGAGTTGATGAGTTTTTGTGCGGACTGGGCAGAGGCTAAGAGCATAGTCCTGCTGGATATAATACACCATGTGAGAAGACTTTGATGTTTCATGATGATTGAGATGAAAGGACAAGCGGGAGGACAGAAAAGAATGGAATTGTGTATGCTTTCCTCTAGCAAGAACAGGTATATTTATGACAAAACACGCGTCCGTCCAGATTGCCCTTCGTAGTACATTTGATGTGACGCTTCTTGAAAATAACGAGTTTGCCGAATTTACCGGAAGGAGCAGAACGCCTTGCATAAGGCTAGAGACCGCGAGCATTATGTCCAAACATAGGAGACTGTTATTCAGACATTTTACAACGCTATGATCGTAAAAATTTATGTTGTGGATGCAGAGTTGTCAACAATCAAGTCAAGCCAACATCTCCAGATGTGCCACTAACCTAACAAGGTAAGATCTAAGCCTATATAGGCAGTTTCTAGGCCTAAAAGGGTAATCAATCAAATCAAGCCTCACCTTGTGAGCCCCACTTAATTGATTGTTGACAACTCTGTGTGGATGAAGGATAGTTTTGTTACAGCATCTCGTTTTTAAAATAAACTATGAATCCCAGGTAACCACAGAGCTCTCGTCCCTAAGCCACTCCAAATCCTATGACGGATAAACCTGGTTCATGAAACCTTGTTGCACGTCTTCTTCGTCTCTTCGACTCGATCCTCTAACAACCGCTTCTTGTGCCACTGCAAAGACTCGCTTCACTATCGACGCAGCGGGATAATTGTCCTCGATCGCAGTAAAAAACTGTGAATATATGTTGAACTTATCGTTTACTGAATTTCTTGCGTCTTGGCTTCTTGATATCATGGTGGTCAAATAGGTGACCATGGCTGGGATCACAAGTGGAATTGTAACTGGCGCAACGTATATTGTAGTGTTGTCGTGGAGAAATGCTTGTATGATGGCCGTGGTGTTGTCAGCGGCTCTTTCCAAGTCTTCTTTCAAGCCACTGGCTCGACCTAGTGCAATGATTGCAGCATATTGGTGGAGTCTCAAGTGCCGGTCGAAATGCGTGAGTAGAAACGTGGAATTGCTGATATCCTGGACGTTGATTTGGCCTTTATAAGATTTGATTTGTGAAGGTGATATAGTCTCCTTCGTGATGATATCACGCAACGTGCTACTAGTAACGATCAAGCTCTGCCACATACTAGCAAGCCTCGCTGCCTCATTTACGGAATATAACTTTTGACCGTGCAATTGCATATCTGTAAAGTGGCAGTCTGCGTCTTCAGGCATGTGGCTGTCGCAGTCTGTCGCTTTGATACGAAGTGGTCTGCCCATACCAAAAGCCAGCCAAACATCACGCATCATGCAGCACTGCCAAATGTTGCGCCACAAAGATCGTTGTCGAGTAGTAACTTGTGTATGAGCTGACCTAACTTCACGATGAAGGCCAAGTGTCTGCGCGATGCTGAATGCTATGCCTGTCCAGTACCATGACTGCTTTACGTCTTCGGTGTCCGCAAACCAGAAGCTGAGGAGGAGAGCCGATTGAATGAGCACAATCTTGTCGTTCTCTAGGCTGAGATCGAACAGCAGTTTGGCGCGGTGCACATATGTTTCTTTTCTCGCTTTTCGTGATGAGATTGAACTATAGCTGGCGCTAACTGAGAACATGCTCCAGAGGAGAAGCAGATTTATCCCTTCGTGGCCGCCGACAGCGTAGTTCTGCAAAAACAACGATCCGTCGACAACTGGAAAGGACGGATGAACAAATTCGAAGTACATTTTGAGAAGTTCCTTGCTATCTGCTGGCAGCGTGAAACAACCTTTGCTCTTCAGGTACTCAAGATCTTCGGCAGTGAGCGCCTTTTCTGCCGTTGTGGGTATGTGAAAGTGGCGATTCGTGGTTTCGCCCATAGCATCGAGGATGGCGCCATATCCGCCCTCTCCGACGAAGATAGGTGCAACTCTTGAACTTGGTTCCAAGATAGCGGCTGCAACAATTTCAACAGGATCAGGGCGTGATGATGGTGGTGAGCTGGCTGTCACATGGCCTCCATCGTCGTTGGAACTGGTGCCAATTGGCCGTCGTGCCCTCTTTCGACTACTGAACTGGACATTAGCTACTTAGGCGATAGAGTGGCCCGCACAAGCTTACCGGTATTGTTTCCTGGCTCGAATTACGCAGCCCTTGCCAATCTCTGTGCACTTTGAGCACGGGATTCCGGCTGAATCAACATCGCAGCGGATCTTATGATTGTGGCAGAATTCGCAAACGTTGACTGCCCGTTTTCTCGGCATGTTCGGTGTTTTCGGTTGTTTTGTGGATTGGTAACGAAGCGATATTTAAGCAGGGCGGAACGTCCGGAAGGATCGGGGCGCAGCGATATAACATGCTAGAGTGGTGGTAATTGCACAGCAACGAGCCTGTGAGGAGTTCAACGCTAACAGTTCACCTTATAAAAATAAGATCTAATCTTCATCGTAAGTCACAATTCGAAAGGCTGCTGCCTCGAGGTGTCGTTCTCCTTGGCGCGCACGCACCTCAACTTTTGCGAGCGGCAGCGGTCGCAGGCCAATCGTCGCCAGGGCGAGTGGATGCGCATCTCCGGAGGCGGCTGCTGCTGCCGCTGCTGCCCCGGTGGTGGTGCAGCTCCTGCTGCTGTACAGTGCGTGACGGCCTGAGCGGCTGGACGGCGCAACAGTGCCACCTGAACACCAAAACAGCCCTACAACTTGAAGCTGTAGAGCCTCACACAATAGCTATTATCGCGCTTATTATTTTTAGTGGAGAGATAGATAGAGGCTAAAAAATATATTGCGCTATTGATATCGTGTAGAAGGAGTAATGTTGCGGCTACGTCGTGACCTAAGAGATACTGCGCCTGCAACAGCGCCTTGAGGCTCTCTACCACCTGCAGGCCTTACAACAGCCCTCTTTTTAGAAGCAGCTTTTGCAGAAGCTATGAGGCTGCGCTTCTTGCTCTTTTGGGACGTTTTGGTAGCTTGTTAGAGTCGTTTTGCAGTCCTGCGAGCTGCTGCCCTAGAGGCCTGTTCAGCAGCCTTCTCAGCCTTCTCCTTCTCCCGTGCTATCCTAGCTGCAGCCCTTGCCTGACGCCTACTATCTACCTCTCTTATCTTCACCTGCCTCGCCTCCTCACGAAGCCTATTTGTCTCAGCTTTTTGGTGTTGTAGCTGCTCCTCCTCGCGCTCCTGGAGCTGCTGGCGATCACGTGCCTCCTTCACCTTTCTTGGAGACCAGATTACAGCTCCACCTTGATACTCCTCAGGCTCCTGCAGTAGGAGAGGCTTGCCTCGCCTCCTGCGCGTTCTCTCGTTGACGAGAGCCTCGCGTAGGCCCTTGACCTCATACTCAGCAAGTGTTGCTCTTACAGGGAGATGATGAATAGTCTGATTAAGCTTTGAAATCTTCCTTTCGTCCCTACTATTCACTGCGCGACCAACCAGCTGTCTAATCTTCCTCCAATCAGAGGCGCTTAAGGCTGAGGACTCGCTATCGCTTGAGGATGGGCTAATATTAAACCTTCTTAGGATAACCTCAGGATTAAAGGGTGAGAGGCCTGTAACCTCAAAGGCCTACCCGAGAGGACGACCTCGTTCCTAGTGGGAACGAGCAAATTTTGGTGAGAGCGATAAGGCGCGATAAGGACAGGGGGGTGGGAACGAGCCAGTGGGAACGAGCCAGTGGGAACGAGGTACTTGGGGTTAGCTATCTCGACACACCTGCCTAAAAAGTGCTTCCCCACATGTGTACATGGGACCCTGACAGTAGCGAAGTAGATTTGTAGGTGGTACCTAGTGCGCTTATATTTCCGGACCTCGAGAAGGTCGTCCCGTACCCGTTCGTTCTCGAGCATCTCTCACAATCGCTATTCGCGTTTGTGCAGCTAACCTCGCTGACTTTGGGGGGCTATATTATGTCCAAGTACGTGGTTGCTTCTTCGCACGTGGGATGCCGAATTGTATAATGAACTACGTGTCCTCGAGAGACAATTGGCAAGCCGACCCAGGAGATGGGGTGTATCTTCTCGGAAACGATTCCATAAAGTCGAACGTGTTCGCGAATAGGTTGTACGATGGAACAACGTTCCAGTCTCTCGCAATCATCTGTTTTCCTTCCTCGATACTGGGAAAGAGGTTGGCCAGCATCAAGACTACCATGCATGTAACGTAGCTGATATCTGGTCGATCTAACCGATTCGATAGCAAGTGGTATGGGAAGCCGCAGGCATTGGCAAAGATCGATATACGATCCGCGGTGACGAGGTTGTCGCAGAGCGTCATTAGTTTGAGGAATTGAAAAAAACGATGAGTGAGTACGGACTCTGGCATGCTATACTCCTCGGGTCGTGGCATGCGGATGGAACCGAGAAGCGTCAACATCTTGTCGTAGGCTGTTTTGACATCTGGCTTGTTCCAGTAGTAATCGGGATCAATCGCAATGCGAAGCCCCATGGCCTCATTCAGCGAGTATATGTCCAAGCAAACGTCGTTCCCGACCATAAACTCCCGGACGTCTTCTGGTATGTGAACCGTTGTATCGATAGAGACGAGTAACTTGAGTGACGTTGCACATTGTCTCTCCTGGAGTATCCACGTCCGAGTGAACCAACTATCTGTCGAAATATACTGGAGTGATTGGGTAAACTCCTCGTCAGTAGCAGTATCCACACTCGGTTCCATGGCTAGTGGGCCACGTAGCCATCTGATTAGAGGCAACCATATTTCCTCGTCTGTAATGGTAAGAGAAAGAGGCGCGACTGTCCAGCGACTTTCTCGATAAATGCGGTGCATGATCTGCAGATGCCGTTCTATATCCGCTGGGTCATCCTGATTGATGCACTCTTGGTCGATATATATATATGGACAATCTCGTTCTCGAGCAAAGCGGAGAGCGCGATGTAAAACAAGTTTTGGGCACTTGATCAGTTTGGGAGGTTTACCAAGTGTGGTGGCATCCCAAACCCTGTATTCTGGTAGTCGCATTTCCTCCCTCTCGATTTGCTCGTGTCCCCAACAATATGAGACTGTTATGTAGATCATTCCTGGCGTGTAATCTTCGCCTGAGGTGAGCTTGAGATCGACGTAGCCATTATCTGCCGACTAGTCATGAGGCTGAAGTGGAGTGAGAAGGCGCGGTTGTAGGGGCTCGTTGTCAGTCGCCTTGACGAGAGCTAGTCGTGTGATTTCATCGATGCTGTTCAACAAAGCCTCCTTGTCTTTGTGGATCAGGCTCAATGGTAGATGATCGTCGCGTTGCATGTCCGGCTATATGTTCGTATCAAGCTCAAGCAGGAAAATCGGTGGAGGGCCTCCGGTTGCGTGACTATCGTCAAAAGATCAGCTGTTTGTAGCAGCGGTAGAGTCGCTTCTTGAAGGAGCAGTGGTACCAACAACTTTGCAGTCACATGTCATGATTCTTCGGTGTGGTGGAGGCGGAGTAGTTTGAGTGGCCTGCGAAGGCAGTTCATGGTGGTGTCCGCGCGCATGCGATGCCCGGCTGTGCACCCAACGCCCGGCTCTGCTTTGTCTCAGCCTCTCCGACCTCGCATATGGGCATCACTACGTGAACCTTTGGTATCGCCTTTACGTGCTTGACTGACGCACAGCCGTTCTGGAAAAGCGTTCATGTTGATAATGGTCTATTGCAGGGAGTTGATGCTGATTGCGGGGTGAAGATGTAGTGGAGGCGAGCGGCAAGGCGCAAGCGCACGTCATCCGATTCGGTGAACCGTTGGAGACGACATCTCGCTTGCACCTCACATATTCCATCGCACAGGACCGGGATGCATACGTCCCGCTGGCGAGTATGTGTACCAACAAGGTATCGTTAGCGTATGCGCTCGTGCATGTCGTCATTGCCATTGAGAGATGGCTCGCAATTGCAATCGGAGCATGCGCTTGCTATTCACCACCCAAGCGCGACAATGACTCTCTACGCCTTCAACTATCCAAGATGTAAGCGACAAGACTAATCAATCTCGAACGCGAAGAACGGAAGACACGCATCAGTCGTTTCCTTGCTGCTTGTCGCAGGCCAAGCGCTGTCGGGAACATGAACCTTATTACTAATAACGCCGTGCGATGACCTCCATATAAGCTGAGCTATGATGCTAGAACAATACAAGACATACACACTTCATAATTTCTCGTACTTGCAACACCGCACCCAACCGTGCGACACTGCTTTTGCACAATCGTGGCGCGCCCTAATACGGATAGCGGCTGGCATCTTTCAGCCTTCCTCTAGTCCTTGGCAACATTGATCTTACTTTCTCCATAATTTACAGCTTTGTACATCGTAACTTGTCATATTCGGTTCGACCTACTATTCGAACGCTCTCTAGCGACAAAGCCACTATCTTACGTTTACGCTATCTCGAGGTCGTGCACTGCTACCTACCTTCCAGCCTTGCACGCTCAGCGTACCACGGAACATGACCGAAGCGATCCTGCCTATGGATCAAGGCGAACATAACAAGCAAGCCAAACAGATCGTGTATGAGAGACATACGCTTCGCCCGAATTCGAACTTCATACGCGTTCTTGACGTGCGTCCGATTCCCAAAGATGCTACGAAAGACGTGCCTGTCGAATGCAGTTTACGCGTCATCAATCTCGACCACAAACCCGATTTCACGGCATTGTCATACGTATGGGGTGACACAGATGATAAGCGCAGCATCGTGTGCGACGGTGCTTTGTTCGAGGTTACCGAGAACTGTTACTCAGCCTTGTGGCATCTGAGTAAGAAGCTTCAGGGCCTGGTTATTTGGGTAGACGCAATTTGTATCAACCAAGATGATAGGAATAAAGAGAAGGAATGGCAGATTACTCTCATGGGAGAAGTATACACCAAGGCCAGGAAATGTATGCGTGGTTGGGAGAGGGCGACGATAGGTCCAATCAAGTGATGGGGTACTTATCGGGAGGCGGACTTCGTACATATGTTGAAGATCTGCCAGAAGAACCACCGCGCTATCGGCTTTATGTTGCAGCACTACGTTCTCCCACTCGAGGGAGTTTATTCTACCTCCCATCGCTGTTTTCACGTAAGTAGCATTCTGTCCATTAATCGTGTTACGCTAATGTGCAAAGAACGTGAGAGATTTGCGATGAACTTTTCCGATTTTCGGGTGCCATACACCTGGCGCGATTTCTTACACGTTATCGACCGACCGTGGAAAAGTCGAATATGGACTTATCAAGAGATCCTGTTAGCTTCGCACCCAGTGATCGTGTGTGGTACCAAACATGTCGACTGGTCAGACTTCGAGTGGACGTTGCTCCTTTTGCGTAGTACGCTCGGAAACTTCCCAAGTGCCGCCGTTGCATGGGAGAGCATCGCCTTTGACAGGGCAAGATTGAGTTCGACTATTCGACCATCCGAGCCCAACGTGCTACATGATCTTGGAAAGTACGACACACTCGTCAGGAGGCTTTTTTCAGCGCGACGAGTCTTGAAGATCACATTCTACTGTTTAGTGCTAGCATGCCTAACGGCATCTCTTCTTATCGCCATTATCTCTGTATCCTTTGTGAAGCATCCAGGATGGATTTTTCAGTTCCATGTTTCACATAACGTTGAGGCTGCGCTCCTAGGAACATCGATCGTCTGCATGCCTGGATTACTTCTTTACGTGTGTTTAGCGGTGCGCCGCACATATCGTTCCTATGGGGACGATGTCAACGAGACCGTGTCCGATGATTTGGTCGGCGCGCTGTATCAAAGAGCAGCTACTGATCCAAGGGACATAGCATACGGTATCTGGGCCATCCTGCGCATGCGCAGAGCAAGTGGTCTTCCTGAGCCGACATACGACACTGACATCAAGAGGCAAATACCTTTGGTCTATCTCCAGCTCACTCTGCATCTGTTTCAGGTAACTAATAATCTGCGAATGCTGCATGTGGCCGCCGCGCGAAGGCTACCAGGCGCTCCATCGTGGGTTCCTGATTGGTCTACCTTCAAAAGCAACACGTGGCGGGACCTGCCATGGTTTCCAGGCACTGATCTTTACTGGAGGACCCAGGTCATCCCACCTGGAGTGAAGGATAGATTCCACAGGGAACGTGCGCAACAGCGGATATCTTTCGACTCAACCCAAAGTGTCTTGACGGTGCTTGCCAGGGATACTGGCGCCATTTGCGGCTGTGTCTTCTTCCAAACAACAGCCAAAGCGTTTGAGGTCGACGAGAGACATGCCCATCTGGAGAATCTACGGGGAATGCTCCAGTAGGCAGCATGGGCGGAAAATATCGGTTGCACGATCAAAGCTATCTTTTACACGCCGCTAGTCCATGAGCTTACCCCACTCAGTGCCGGGGCTATATGGCCAACTCTGAGTGATCGAAAACAATGGGGGAAAGCACTTTCCAGCCCGAGACGGGACAGCCTGATCAAAAATATCACTCATTGGATGGATGGCGCTGAAGTACCGAGATGGTTTCGCAAATTCATGGCAACTCAGATCTGTTTATGTAACTTGATGGCGGAGATGAAGCGGAGGGTTTGCTACGTAAGTATTTCTGCCGAACCAGGAAAGTTCTACCTACTTGCTTGCTTGGAAGGCACACAAGTCGACGATCAGATTCTGTCGGTATGCGGATTACCGGGTGCAGTAGTTGTGCGCAAGCGTGGCGAGTTGAATAATTCGGTCGAAATCATCGGTCATGCTTCTCGTCTGAGTGCAGGTGCGGTTGGAAAGCCAAAGAGCAGGAATGATGGCAGCAGCATTACTCTGGAAAACCAATTCGTCGAATATCATGTACATTGAGTGTCAAGTAACAGAGGACCTGAATGATGTACGTTGGGGTAGGTAAGATACCTTGAAGTTGCTGTAGATGTTATACTAAGGTTGGGCATAGCCTATCTGTATACGAGCAATTTAGCGATAGGTTTGAAGTAAGCTCGGCCATATGGAAGTCGGCCACCTATGGATATCGGCCACCCCACCAAAATCGGCCACCTGGTTTTGAGGCTATATCCCACCACCACAACGCTATCAATATGGATAATCGTGAGGTTACTATACAATCTGCTATCGCTGACCTGAATTCTGGTGTTTTTACGAGCCAACGGCAAGCTGCTCGCGCGTACGGTATCCCACGATCGACGTTACAGGGCCGCCTTGAGGGTCGTACAAATCGCGTCGCTGCTCATCACCACCAGCAGCGATTAACACCAGAGCAGGAGGATTTTATCGTTCAATGGATCCTTGAGGAGGACTCACGCGTTCAACCTCCATCTCACGCTCGTGTACGAGAGATGGCTACTCGCGTTCTCCGTATGAATGGCGATCACGAGCCCCTCGGCCAGCTATGGATATCAAACTTACTATCGCGTCAACCACGTGTCGCATCTATCGTCGGCCGATCGATCGAGGCCCCGAGGGCTGAGGCTGCAAGCCCTGCGAAGATCAGAGCGTTCCTCGAGCTCTTCGAACGCACACGAATCGAGCTCAACATCAGGCTTGAGGATATATGGAATATGGATGAGACTGGGATCGCCTTAGGGGTATGTACGAACAGCCAGGTGATAGCTAGCTCTACCAAGAAGAAGGCTTATACCAAGGCTCCAGGAGATCGTGAATGGGTATCGATTATTGAGGCTATCTCAGCCACTGGCAGGAGGCTCCGCTGTCTAGTGATATTCAAGGGCAAGAGCCTCCAAACCACATGGTTTCCTAGCCAATCAGTGCCTGATTGGCTATATACTACCTCTCAAAACGGATGGACCTCATATGAGATAGGAACCACCTGGCTGCGGAGGATATATATCCCGGATACCGCGACCGATCCTGATCGATATCGATTACTCCTCATAGATGGCCATGGCTCACATACTGATATTGAGTTCATGTGGCTCTGTAAACAGCACAAGATCGTGATACTCTACCTACCAGCACACTCATCTCATATACTCCAGCCTCTAGATTTGGCTCCTTTCTCTGTGATCAAATCTCGATATCGAGATCAGATCCGAGCTCTACTGTACTAAGCCATAAGTCTGTTCGCGCTAAACGCACGGCCCAACAAGAACATGAGATCACAAGATAGGTATCTTCTGCAACACCACACAACTCCATCAATATGAGGTCATTTAGCGTTGAAATTTCGGGAAATCGAATGCCAGGTGGTGAATTATCAGAACGCCAACGCGATTTTATCTTAGCGCAGGCAGAGGCTGGTGCAGCAACTAAGGAAATCGCCAACGCGCTCCGCTGCACACAACGCGCTGTACAGAAAACGATAGCTCGATGGGAGGCCACCTCTAGCACCACCACGCGCGATCGTACAGGCCGTCCACCTATTTTAACTAGTAGAGACCGTCGTCGGCTGCTTCGAATCGCTAAAAAAGCCCCTGGTGTCATGGGGTCGGCAGGCAGGGAAGGTAGGTGCACGTGATCAGTATATTCACTACGATATCGCTGATAGTACGGGGTCAGGCTAAGACAAGGACGTAGCTCAAGGAGCGTACGACAGGGCGCGTTCGCGCAGGAATTTCAGCGATCGCGCAGCTGCTCGCTTAGCAGCTTGGCGCGCTCTAATAGGCTATCTAGGTCAGCGCCGTGACAGTACTCCCCTCCTTAGGCGGAGCTCCGACGACGCGATCAACGGGGCTTGTCTGGGTAACGGTGGTAGAAGTTCTTGACGATCTCCTGGGCGTTCTCGACGTAGTCGGCTGGTACTTCAGTAGGCTCGTCGTATCCAACCCACTTCACTATATACTTTAGTCGGGGCCGGCCTCCACGGCCGCGGCGGTCCCAGCGGGAGTCTAGGATGTCCTCGACCTCCCACTCCTCGACTCCCTCGACTTCGACAGGAGGAGGCGGGTCTTGTCGCTGCCCAGGCAGGGGGTCAGTCGCAGCTGGGCGGAGCAGGCTCACGTGGAACACAGGGTGGATCTTCATTGAAGCAGGCAGCTCTAGGCGGTAAGCATACGGGCTGACGACCTTGGTGACCCTGTAGGGTCCTAGGAATTTCCAGTCTAGTTTTTTCTGCGGGCGGGCGGTCTTAATATTCCGGGCGTCAAGCCACACTAGGTCGTTTTCAAAGAACTGGCGGGCAGGTTTGCGTTTCCTGTTGGCGTACTTCTCGTGCTGGGCTTGTGCGACACAGATCTCAGAGCGCAAGTACTCGTGGACGGTTTTCATCTTTAGGGCTAGATTTTCGGCGTCTTGCGCCGCTGGCTGTCGGCTTGGATCAACAGGCTCGAATCCTAGGCGGGGGTGGAAGCCGTAGTTCGCGAAGAATGGCGTTGTGCGGGTGCTCTCGTTGTTAGCGTTGTTTACCGCAAATTCGGCTAGCGGTAGCCATCTCGCCCAGTCATCCTGCAGGTACGAAACTTGGCTTCGCAAGTACTGTTCTAGGAAGGAGTTCGCTCTCTCCGTTTGCCCGTCAGTTTCTGGGTGGTACGCAGTAGACAGGATGGACTGGATCCCTAGGCGTCGGGTTAGGTGGCTCCAGAACTCGGATACGAACTGTGGTCCTCGGTCTGATACGATAGTCTTGGGGAGGCCGTGTAGCTTCCAGACGTACTTCGTGAATAGGCGCGATACCTCCTCGGCGTCGCAGGTACCCTGGCAGGCAACAAAGTGCTTCATCTTAGTGAGTCTGTCTACTACGACTAAGATAGCGTCAAATCCACTACTCTTAGGCAGGTGCGTGATAAAGTCCATCGACAGATCTTGCCAGGCTCGGTTAGGTATTGGTAACGGTTTCAGGACTCCTTGTTTTGCTTCTCGTGACGTCGTAATTCGTCTACAAGTGTGACAGTTCCGAACCCATTGCTCGACGTAGTCTAGCATTCCAGGCCAGTAGTATTCTCGGGACAGTGCCTCGTAGGTTCGGGATCGGCCCATGTGGCCGGCGACAGGGCTCTCGTGGTACATCCGTAGTAGCTCAGCATGTA